TTCTTACTGAATTTCTCTTCCTTTTTTTCCCTTCCGATAGCAAATACCTGATGTATCACCAACAGGTCGCTACACAACACTGGTTCCTCTCTTATTTATTTTAGCTGTGGCAGCTGTCAAAGAGATAATAGAAGATATTGTAAGTATTTGTTTTTTTCATAAATAAATGTAACTGTTATTTTTATATACATATTTTTAAAAATTAGTTTCTTCCTAAGTTGTTTAATTCTTGACACAGACGGTTTAAAATCCCCATTCAACTTAAAAGTATTTAAAATATGCTCCCAATGGCGTGTTAGTTTCTGCTTTATAACAAAGTGAATCAGTTATACATATACATATGTTCCCATATCTCTTCCCTCCCACCCTCCCTATCCCACCCCTCTAGGTGGTCACAAACCACTTAGCTGATTTCCCTGTGCTATGTGGCTGCTTCCCACAAGCTATCTATTTTACGTTTGGTAGTGTATATATGTCCATGCCACTCTCTCACTTTGTCACAGCTTACCCTTCCCCCTCCCCGTATCCTCAAGTCCCCTCTCTAGTAGGTCTGTGTCTTTATTCCTGTCTTACCCCTAGGTTCTTCATGACCTTTTCTTTTTTTTTTCTTAGATTCCATATATATGTGTTAGAACACACCATTGTAAAGCAATTATACTCCAATAAAGATGTTAAATTTAAAAAAAGAATAGATATATATGTATAACTGAATCACTTTGCTGTATACTTGAGACTAACACATTGTAAATTAACTATACTTCAATAAAAATTTAAACATAAAATATGCTCCCAGGCTTCCCTGATGGCGCAGTGGTTGAGAGTCTGCCTGCCAATGCAGGGAACACGGGTTTGTGCCCTGGTCCGGGAAGATCCCACATGCCACAGAGTGGCTGGGCCCGTGAGCCATGGCCGCTGAGCCTGCGCGTCCGGAGCCTGTGCTCTGCAACAGGAGAAGCCACAACAACAGTGAGAGGCCCACGTACTGCCAAAAAAAAAAAAAAAAAAAAACCCATACGTTTACCCTCCAATCACGACTTACCGAATGCAGTCAAAAGCCTGAGCCAGATAAGCATTCCCCGCTATTGCCCTCCTTTAAAAAAAAAAAAAAATGCCCCTATCCCTAGAGTTAATTCCTCTTGATTGCTATAGGATTAATATTACAGAATGCTTATTACATGACCCCTTAGGTTTGTACCTTTGTAATGAAATTAATTAATTTGAATGTAGTAATTGGCTTGGAGAGAAAACTATATTTGCACACTGTTTTCAAGTATGCTCAATTTTCAATGTGAACATTATTTCAGGTTAAACATGGTAACCTCCAAATTCTCTAAATGTAGAGTTTTTTGTATTTTTTTATTTTTTTCATTTATATGCCACAGTTTTCACCTTATTAAATACCTTTGATTCCTTTTCATCTTATTTTAGTAGTTCTGTTTCCTTTTATTAAAAGAAAGTAACAGCAGATTTGCTATTTTTATTATTCTGTAGTAGTAGAGAAAAGGGGAAATCAGTTTCCCCTTTATAAAATAAGTTGCCCAAAATAAAATCAGACTTTCCTTTTTCCTGTTTCACTGTTATTTTAACTACTTTAGTTGAGGAAGCTAATTTTTTTTTTTCTGTGCCCTTTAAATACATTGCCTGTCTGAAATGATCATCTATCAAGCCTTAGGCAAGTCAGATGGTAAGACAAGGAAAGGCTGAGACATTCTTTAGAAAGCTCCAATTTAAAGTTGTACAAACATTGATATTATTTTTGTAAAGAATCAAATTGGGATCTCATGAAGAACACATGAGCTGTAACATCACTAGGCATATTAGAAGTGGGTCAACTGACCATTTAGATCATCAGCCTCAAAAACTTCCAAGTGTCTAGGGGTACAAACAGAGGGTGAGTGTGTGTGTGTGTGTGTGTGTGTGTGTGTGTGTGTGTGTGTGTGTAAAACGTCATAGTCCTCTAGCTGGAAATGGCATACTTGCTGGGGACCACTAGCTGAAAATTTAAGGGACTCTCTTCTCACCTGTATCACTCCACACAGAGTTACCATCCTTTAAATTGTACTTGCACTTGGCAGTCCTTAAGGATTGGTCTTTACTACAGTTTTGTCTCTTTCTTTGCCTTATGTATATTCCCCTTTCTTTCTTTGTTTAACCTAATTTTCATTGAACATCTCTTATTTGCTAGGCATTGTGCTGTCATTTTTGCAAATTTTTAAAAATTTAAATCATTCAGTAACTTTGCAAGTTAGATTTTTAGCCTCATTTTAAAGGTAAGAAAGCTGAGGCTTAGAGAGGTTGTGTAACTTGTGCAAGAAATCAGTGGAATCAGAATTCCATCCCATCCAGTGTTCTTCCTCTGTATTATTGTAGCGAGTCACCAACGATAATATTAATAACATTTATTGAGCTTCTGGGTTCCATGTACTTGCTCTATGTCCTTTTAATTTATTAAATCTTATAACAACTTTAAAGATTATTGATATTATCCCCATTTTAAAGATGAGGGAGAGGAGGCATAGAGGGGTAAGTTAACTTGCCCAAGGTCACAGAGCTAATAACTGGGGCTGTCAGAATTCAAATAAGGCTGTTTGGTTCCAGAGCCCCTGCCTTTAATCACTGCTCTAAACTGCCTTTCCTTTTTTTTCCCTTTTCCCTAGCAAAACTATAAACTCTCTAGCTATGGTTTCTAGTATCTCTCTCTATGAAAATACATGGTAAATAAAATAGTATCCAAGAAGTTTGCTTGTTTTTAACAGAACTCTTATTGGCATATGTAATAACTGGATACTATTGGAAAGCAGCTAATCAGGCAGTTCCTGAAGGATGTAATAATAGTATTGTGGGTAATAAGATATCATGTGAAATCGTTTTCCAGTAAAGAAAAACAGTGTTAAGAAATTGACTAAAAATGTGCTATAAGAATGGTTTAATAAGAAGTTTATGTCAGTGTGTAAGGTGATAGAAAGTTTGAAATGTTACTCCCTAGAAAAGGAAAAACAATCAGATAATCGTTCAGATAGTTGGACAGAGAGTATCTTTATCAGTAATTATAATTAGTACATATAATTTTTCATTCATTCAACAAAGATATGTGATGCGGTACTTAGGTGCCCAGCATTCATTAGGGTATGTTTTAGGATGTGTTAAACTTTTGCTGCAGTAATCAAGTCCCAGATGTCAGGGGCTTAAACGTAAGTTGATTTTTCGTGTACTCAAAGTCACTGCAGGTTTTTGTCCATGAGGAAGGGAGGGCAGGAGGCACCATTGTTCATGTAGTCATTCAGGGATGCAGCTGAATCAGGGCTGTGCTGTGTGGGATGTCAGTGGTCACCAGAACAGAGGAAGGGAGAGAATGGAGGTACATAGAAATGGTGCATATCACATCTGCTTACAGCACAATATTAGAACTAGTGACATGACAAAAGGGAGCTGTAATCTCAGTGTCCATAGCAGTAGAGGAGAATTAGATATTGGTGACTACGGTAATGTCTACCACTCTTACATCAGTGAATGAAACAAAGCTTACATTCTAGTAAGCTTTCCTTTATGTTCTGTTAAACAACCTTTTTAAAAAAAAATTTACAATAAAACAGTAAGAATTACCTAAGACTCAACTACCGCAGTGCATTTTAACTCTCAATGCTTTGGACACCTTAACGTAATATGATTTCCTATTTTTGTGTGTAAGTAACAAATTACATATACACTTACTTGAAAATATAGAATCACTGGAGAACTCTTAGTTTAAAAAAAAGCTGCATAATGTCAAATGTTAATTCTTATGGTAAGAGTCAAGGTTGTTTGTTAAATTGATAATATTCACCTTTAAAAACATGCCTTCTTTGCTATATACTTGTTCACTTAAACACTGATAAACTTTATTCATTATAAAACAAATACTTATTTAAAGTCTACAGTGTTCAGAGACCAAATCCTGGGAATATGCCAGTGAGTGAAAGTAGTTATGATCGAGCTTGCAGTCTAGTACAGGGGACAGACGTTACTCAGGTAACCACACCAGCTATTATGAGAATTAAATGATGCACTAAAGTCCTTAGAGCAGTGCTTAGTATATAATTAGTGCCGAATAAATGTTAACTGCATGGTCATCATTCAAAGATCTTTTTGACTAAAATATAGAAAATGGATTGCAAGGAAAGAAGGGAGGATTTTGGTAATGGTGTGAAAACATAAAGACGTCTTAAACTAAGTGGTATTGTAAAGATAAAGAAATATGGAAAAATGAATTCAATATATATTTAGGGGTAAAATTGACAAGACTTATCACCATCTGAAATGCTGTATATCCTACTCATCTTATTAATGTTTTATCTCTAACAACTAGAATGTAAGTTCCATGAGAGGAAGAGTTTTTGTCTCTTGTTCATTGCTGTATCAGCAGTAGTAACAGGGCCTGACACAGTATTTTGTTAACGTTTATTGAATGAAGAAATACATTGGATGGGAGTGAAAGGGAAAGAAGGTACTTACGACTCTCACGTTGCTGGTTTGTGCAAGTGGATGGTATATGGTTCCATTCTAAGACAAGTACCTAGTCTTGGGGGTTAAAGTCAGAGATTGCCTTTTGGACATAGTGTAAGATGCCTTTGAGACTGCCAGAGGGAGCTGTCAGGGAGGCAACTGGATATAATAGTCTGGAGCTCAGATGAGAGTCTTGGCTGGTATGTATTTAGATAATAGTTATCATTGAAATTACAGTTATGAATGAACTAAGAGAGTGGAGAGTGAGAAGTGGAGAGGGCAGGGATTAAGCCTTGAGGAAATCCATCTCAGAGAGATAAAGAAGGGGCCATGGTGCAGGTAGAACACCTGGGTAATGATGTCTTAAGATATGTCTAGGGAGGGAAGGGTTTCCAGAAGGAAGAGGTGGTCAGTACCACATGCTTAAGAACCATAAAGTTCATGGCACTATTTATACAGTAGAGTTTATTGGACCACTGTCAATCAAATATTGATAATATTAGATAATTCACTAGCTCTCAGTGATATTAAGTGAACTCTGATTACAGGACAGTAGAAGTGTTTGAACTCAGAGAATAGCTATATTAATTTCTTCTGAACTATTAGTTTTAGAAGAAATAGGATCTCTTTCGGATACAGTGTAATGATAAGATTAGAATGTACCTATCTGGGTTGGATCCTTATGTATATTCAAAACAGTTGTTTCTTGACAAGTAACCTAATTTATTCTCTGGTGGGAAGGTTGAGGAAGGAGAGGCTCCTATATAAGAATTTTCTGCAGATGGAAAGAAATGTTCAGGATCTCCTAAAGTTTCACTAAGATTAAATTTCCAGTTTAAGTGGAGGGTTTCATTAATTAGCTTTTATTTGTCTCCTTCAGTTGGAAGTCTAACCATTGTCTGTCATAGATGTGCATTGTTTTGGAAATATTTGCACTGCCTTCAGATATATAAATTTGCCTTGGACCAAATTTATTTTGGACCAAAATCTATTTTGGGTTACTTCCTAATTTTCTTAAGATCTTTATTCACAACAAAAAAAGAGTAAGTATTTTAGAGTTTTATCAATCATAAAATATTCTCCACTGATGCTACAAATTTAACAACTTTAAAAATTTTTTTAAGAACATTTACTGGCAAATCGTGTGCTTACTTTTGGAAGCAATAATTTGACTATTAAAAGTCTGCATTGTTACACTTTTATTAGTGAGTGTTTTACTGAGAAAGAATTGTGGTGTGTTGCTGCATATGGATGTGGCAGGAATCATTTTCAACAAGCCTTCCACAGAGGCTTTCTGAATGCCTTATTTGCATTTTGTGCAGTTCAGTGGCTGATTGTTTGGATGAACTGAGCTCACAGTGCCAGCTGTTATGCCACTGCTCGTCAGTGCTGCTGTGTCTTGGAGTGCTCATCTACAAGCCCAGGCTTTTCTCTGGGAAAGTGTTTTCATATGTGCCTGTGATTCTAAAAACCATGTTTCTTCTCAAACGGGGAACTTAGGAACTCATTTTATTACACTCATGCCAACCCACCTTGTGGTCAGGTATGCGCAGCTAAACCTGACCCTGGGCTTTATATGATAGAATCTTTGAGCTCAGTCAGTTACACTCAACACGTTTCTTCAGCATCAGCAGAGGCTGATGTGTTATGCTCGATGCTGTAAGTTTAGACAGAAGCCGTGGAAAACCTCTAGTTGAACCGTAGAGAAGATAGCCTCCCCTGGCCACTCAAATTCTCACCCTTCCTCTGACCTTCCCTTTCTCTTTCTTACTGCTATAAAATCTTGGCTTCTGTAGCTTTTCAAACTCACCCACCTAGACTTAGACTAACTCATTTGTTTACCGTTTAATTTTTTCTTGCTTTGGGAGGAGGGAAAATGAGACTCAGTGACTTGTGGTAGTGGGAGAGGGGGCTGTAGGGGGGCAGTGGGGAGAAGCAGCTTTGTGCAAACGGTAGACATATTTGGTTCCCGTCATTGACAGACATCGGCGTGTCATTAAATTATAGAGGATGTACTCAGCTAATTAGATAATGAATTTCATAAGAAACTGAAAATATTTCAGTACCGTTATTAAATGGTAGTTATTATAGGTAATTCTCATGGGCAGTCTTCTTTTTTAAGTAAGTTATTTAAACAAAAGTCTAAATCAGCCTTTCAGCTCCATCTTTTCTAGTACATTAAAATTTTAATCGTACCTGTATGATAATGTGGTCCTCCGAGGACCACACCCCTGTACTCCCAGAACAGGAGTAGCATATAAAGATGCTATGGATTGCACTTTCAATTTTAAAATTCCTGCATACCCTGATTATTCCCATTACCACACCCTGGGCATACTTATAAAATTGATATGGGTGTGAAAGGATAGAAGCTTTGAGAAACATAATTTTTAAAATCTCTCTTTTGTAATAGGTGCTATCTTGTTTTGTTAATCTCATCCACTTTTTCACAGTTTTTGTTTTTGCTTTTAAATTTTAGAAACGACATAAAGCTGATAATGCAGTGAACAAGAAACAGACCCAAGGTAAGAATTATATTTTGTTTCTCGTATCTGTCAAATACGCTCATAGTAATATATACAAATCACTTCAATTAAATATAATTCAACTGAGAACGCTGTGTATCTCTTAAGTTTTTCTTCCAGGATAGATTCTTCCTTTGTAGCATTTATTAGCATGACACTTAAATTCACATTAGAGTGATTTACAGGGGTAATATTGATAGTTTTGAAAAGTAACATTTTTAATACATTTTAAGTGCCTCATAGCAATGTACTCACAAGTACTGTCCATAAAATCTACAGTTGTTTTGACAGTGTTAAGTGCTACAAAACGTCTTTGGGTGTGTGTGTATGATCTGTAGATGTACTCTAGTTATGATTTATAGAAAATAATCAGATGTGATGTTACTTGAGTAAAAGGCATATTGGAAGCACTTTGAATTATCCTGTACTTGCAGAAGATATATACTCCATACATAAATAAATAAAACAGTTAAAACCAGGCCAGCTTCTGGAAAGCACATGGCATGTTGATGTGGCTCTTTTGTTGTGGGTCTCATTTTGATGGAGTTGAAACCCAAATGACCTTCAACACAAGCAAATAGACTGTTGTGCTCTCAATTTAAAAAAAAAAAATACCCAGGAACACGTGAAACAGACATCTTACCCCATCCCTGAGCTTTCCCAGTCTGAGAATCTCTTCTCTCTCTGAAGTTCCCTGATGTGATGAGGCTCAGCCATGTCTGCCAAAATTAGCTGGTAATTAAAAACAGTATTTTTATACGGCTCTGACTTTTATGGGACTCTGTCAAAATGCCCTGCTTCTCTTCTTACCGCCTTCTACCAAAGGGATTATCTGCTGATCTTTGATGCATTTGAAAAAGGTACATTTATTAAAGTATCACCTAATAAATTAAGTATTTACTGAGATTATACTTATTACAGGACATATGAAAAAGTATAAGATGGAAACTCTATAAAGGTGAAAAATGATCTTGTGTGGAAAATGAAGGATTTGGATTACGTGATCTCAGTGTCTCTAGATTTTTGTGGCAAATGCTGGTTCCTGTGGCAAATGCTCTACGAATTCAAAAGCAGGAGAGAGAATTGTGGTGTAACTTGAGCTAGATCTTGAATTTCGGGAAAAGTTTGGATGAGCAGAGGCACCTGGGCAAGACATTGCCTGTGTGCCTAGTGAGGAAGGGTGAAGAGAGCTTTTCCTGAGCAGAGATGAAGACGGCTGTTGGATTGCTTTGTGGAACCATTAGAGTAACAGATGGGGAAAGGAGATTCCTGGCAAAGGGAAGCAAAGACATGATCAGAAAGGTAGGCCGGGGTCAAATTTTACAGGGCCTTGAATGCCAAGCCAGGAGATTCCAGCTTTTCTTACGTATGCTGAGTAGCTGTTGAAGGTTTACAAGCCAAAAAGAGATAAGGTAAATATGCAGATTAAAGTCAAAGAGCAGAGTGGCACGGAATGGGGGGCTCTTAGAAGCTTGAGGTCTAAGCTACTCTAGGGGTTTAGGTGGGAAGGGACAGCCATAGGTATTGAAAGGGGGAAAAAAAAGAAAGCAAAAATGTTTCAGGTACTGGTATTTTTGACAAGTGGTGCAGTTTTTGCATTTGTTGCCATGTTGCTCGGAATGTTCAGTAACAGCTTTTGAACAAAAAATATGTAACTGTTTTTTTCTAACACATAATGTGTCTTGTGGCAGAGGGCTCCTATCCTCAGGGACTAGCAGTTACTTATTTTCAAACCTTGGCACAAGAAGTCAACATTGTACAGTTGAAGAGTAGCCGTCACAGCCCTGTTGATTTGAGCTACCACACCCTGTATGGGTGGGTTCTCTGATTTTCCAGGTACTTGCCTACTTCCAGAAATACTCCCTTTTTGCCCACTATTCAGAGAAAAGGTTCTTTCTTGGTTATCATTCTTGGTTCACCAATTCATTCTGGATTAACAGGATTAGCTCTGTGGTTAAAAAGTGAGAGGAAAGTCTTCTATAGTATAGAAAACTCATGTCAAAAATAAAATATTAAGGCTTACATATAAAAATCATTTAAGTCAGAGTAGTTGGAAAGCCCATGTTCAAGAAATTATGGTCTTTAGTTTGCTACTTGATGGTTTTCTAAGAGAATCGAATCGTTCTTTTTTTTTTCTTTGCCTAGTTTGAGTATTTGGTCGTCTTTTTGATTTTGCAGTTGATAGGTGATAACAAATGTTTGAGTAGGATACTATTTGCTGTCAGATAACTCAAATTACTGATACTTTATATGAAAGCCATCTGTCGGTAGGCCAGACTGAAATTCAATTTGCTCTCCTGAGTTGAGGCAGGAAGTGGTGTAGGAGTGGGAAGGGGGTTATTTTTGACAGGCAATTAATCATGACAGATATTTTTAGTATTTTACTTAAATTTCATTTTCTAAATGTTTATCAAGACCATGTAATATATGAGGACGTCTTTCCCTCAGATTCAAATATTAATCCTTCTATATTCTTGGAAAAATGAATATTTTCTCTCCTTATTTTGCATTGAGGCACTAAAGGGTGACTTTTTTCTCTGTCATTCCCTAGTGCCTTCAGAAATACAAATTCATGATTTCACTTACAGCATTTTCAGTGGACTGGTACCTGTCTGATGCCCCATTTTCACCAATTAATGAACTTGATCAGGGGTTAAATTCTGGATTCTGCAGAGGGCAGGTCTTCCTCATCTTTGTGTCCTCACAGCTCTAGCCCAGGGGCCCGTCCTCAGCAGGTGCTCTATGTGAGTGAATGAACCACTCTCTGTATAGATACTTCAGTACAGATAGGAAGCAGGAAGAGACTAGTAATGAAAGGAGCCTCCTTGAAAATTCATTATCTAGGGTGTGAGCAAGATGAAAAGCAGTATTTCCAAAACACTGTGTCCCAGGCTGTTTCACAGGCACTGATAAGATAAAAACAAAACAAACAAACAAACAAAAACTAACATGGTAGAAGTTCTTGCCTCCTCTTTACTGTCTCTGTTGAAGTCATCATATCATCATTTTACTCTGCTCTGCATCCTATGAACACAGCACTGTGTCCACTTATCACTTCCACTGCCCAAAAGCCCAGAGCACTGCCGTATTCAGGACCCCCAGGTTTTCCTGGCATCTAAATTTACCTTATTTTCTCTGCTTTCTTCCTCAATATTTGAGCTCACAATATCTGGCATACCCTCCCTCCACGTGTCTACATACACACAGGAGGCAGTCTCTCACTCTGTGTCCTAAATTGGGTTTTCTTGGCCAGACTTAGCTCTGCAGAAATTTGTTAATTATGCATTTTTAATTATCATTATAATATGTATATTGAAGCCAATCCCCATAAGAATTTGTTGTGATTGAGCTAGTTCTCTTTTTAAATTGTAAACTTATGCTTTTACTTTTTGTGGAAAACTGCTATGGCTAGTATTTCAAGTGGAATGACAGTTTCACATAAAGTCACAATATGGAGGCCTGGGAAAGGATGGGGTTCAGGTGCAGACTAAGAAAGGTATTTTGGATCTAAAAAATTAAAATTAAAGATGCCTCTTAATGAAGTAGATTTGCTGTTTTAAAATCCCAGGTTTGGATATATTCCCTGAAGGATGGTGTGCATACATTTTGCAGGTGAGAATGCCTGGGAGACACCTGAGACATCTGGCAGCCCATCAGTCACCTGACTGGGTGCTGCCATTGAATGAGGGCCACATTAGTACCATTAGATTGTTTGATACCTTGTTTTGTTAGTAGGTATTAGATTAGAATAAGTATTTAATAAAGCAGTTTTGCTCCGTTTTAATTTAATTTAGAAAAAGATAACATGAACTTCTTTTTAACTAGGCACATAGCTAAAAATAATAGATCTCATCTCCACCTGATACGTCTTTTCCCAGAGCTCCATCAGCCTTTTCATAAGTGGAGTTGAGTTGGTGGCCACTGATAACCCCTAACAAGGCTGCTTCCCTGCAGGGCACATAGTTGATTATCTCTGACTGCAAAAGCTATTTCACCTTTAAAGTCCTTTATGAAAAAGACGTTGAGTTGGTGTGGGTTGAAGTTGTTTTAGGTTGTTAAGCCTGAAATGACCTACTAACAAGGCTGAATCCATCTGGTTGAGTTCATTTCATGCTAAGGGACTTAAAATAGCACCACTTTCCTGGCTTACTGAAAAAGCCAGTATGCAGCTTTTTTGTTTCCCTGGAGGTATCTGGCACATCTGATCCATCCGTAAGCCTGGACCTGTACTCTGCCATGTGTACATCAGTTACCTATAAATAGTTCTTAGAAAGTATTGTTTCCATGAGCATAAAAATTGGACTTAAAAATTGAGCACGTATATGCTAAAGAATGCTTTCAGGCACCGCTAAGATTGTTAATATCTTCAAATGAAAATTGTAAAATCGAACAATTTTATGAACTGAACTGGTTAGATATTTTTAGCAACAGCTCTGGATGAAGAGGAAGTATTTATTTGTGGGGAAGTCCAACTGCAGATTATCTTTCATTTGTCCCATAAATAAAAGCACACCAAGAAACAAAATCCACTGAGGAAATTGAGGGCCATAGATAAAGTGAAAGGAGAAAAACAGGTGTGACTCCAAGTTAGAACGTTTACTGTTTCACTTCAGTAAGTCTTGCTGAACATCTACCTTGTGTAAGACCCAATGTAGAAAATGCAGAAAGAAAGCAGGCTTCATGCTTGCCCTGTAAGAAATTAAAATCTGGTAGGGAAGATAAGATGCTCACTGATACTATGGTACAAGATAGAAAAACTAATAAAGGCCAAATGAGAGAGGTGGGGATTCAGAAATGTCACATGCGAGGATCACAAAAACGACACAGCACAGCTGTCGGGGTGGGTGCAGGGATGATCCAGGAGGAAATGGGAAGGCGTGAGGTATATTCTGGGAAGAGCAAATACAGATGTCCCTTGGTATCCATGGGGGATTGGTTCCAGGACCCCCACCGATACCAAAATCTGATTCCTTTATACAAAATGGCATATGAGTGATGGA